TCTTGTTTTTTTTTTATTCTTTCAAATTCCTGCTAAATTGGGTAAATTGCAATCAACTCTTGGTATCATATATATTATTGTCAACACCAATCTCGTATGATTTTAGCTGCGTAAATTGGATGTTTTGTGGGAGAAAAAAAAAAATGATGTTCTGCTGTGAATTGAGTTTCTGTTCCTTCATTTTTTTCTTGTAACAGAGTTAATATGCATTCAGATTTTACAGACCGTGGGAAAAATTTCAATTTATTGGGAATGAAATTTGTAATTTTGATTCACACACACACATTATGTAAATGTGTCAGTCTATGTATGCTTGTGGGTGTGTGTATATATATATAAGTCGGTTGGGCTTGTATTAGGCCGGCCTCACCAGGTGGACATACTCTTTGTTCGAATATGTAATTTTCATTAGAAAAAGGTCATACTTTAAAAAAAAAAGACAAACACAAATATGGCATTTTATAAGTATGCATTATTCTCCAAATAATATGACAGCTCGCATAATGACTAGATTGTCTCACACAAGAATTTGTGATTTTAAGTTACATGGCTTCCACTGGAATTGTACTGTGACAGGGTTAAACCTGAAATTTAGGTCTTATAAAATAGTTTAGTATTAATAATGGGTTGTTTTGTTGATCATGGGTATGATGATGGTGTGGCAGCGTGGATTTGAGGAGCTTGGTGGAGCATAATAAACAGAATTTTATTCCACCGTCTTCTCGCATGACCAATTACGTGGTTTTGAGATTCGGTGATCTCAATCCTCTGCCTAATGTAAGTTGTTACATTCATGTTTGTTTATTAGTAAATTGGAGTTGCAGTTTTCTGATCATATACAAGATGCTTACTTCAAAAGAAAAGTCTTTCTCAACAAGATCTCTTATTCGTTATAAAAATTTCAGTTTATTTGAATACCATGCATATTGGTAATTGATGGCAGTGAGCTTATTTCGTTTTGGTTTCATGGTTAATAGTGAATTATTGGTGTTTCAGGGTAGTACGGATTCTAGTTTATGCGGAAGTCAGTGCTGTTACATTGTAGTTTTCCAGTATGGCTCGATTGTCCTATTCAATGTCTGTGATCATGAAGTTGACGATTATTTGAAGATTGTAAAGAGACATGCTTCGGGGTTGCTTCCCGAGATGAAAAAGGATGGTAAGCTTGTTCGTGAAAATAACTGGATTTACTCCGTGGACTGCTCACTTTACTAAATTATATATAATTGTATGGTAGATTGACTAGATTCAATTGTTAAACTTTGAGTGTAT